TAGGCCATTCTATGATTCTATGATTCTCCGAGACAGGGAAGAAGATACTAATGCCCTCTTCAGGACCAAGATGCATTTTTTACACACAAGTATTTTTTTGTGCACGTATATCCATCAACACATGCGACCTGCAACAACTTCTAGACATAATTGGTTCGTGTACTAAATTTAATACATGGCAGTACATAACTCCAAATTTATTGACAAAATTTGCCTTCAGGAACCCCAGGCCCTTGAGATGAGTATAAAAGTTCGGAGCAAGACAATCTTGGCGGAGGCAGATCAGGTTAGGGAACAAACTGGACATGAACAATTTGGTGGTATATTTGCGATATACCAAGAAGTGCTGAAGGAGCTGGTCTTAGGTTATTCTCAATTATCTTTCAAAGGCCATGGTGACTGAGGAAGATTTTAACGACTAGACAAAAGTGCTCCTATCTTCAAGAAGAAAAAGAAGGAAGATCTGAGGGACTAAAGTCAAGGTCAGTGATCACTGGGAAGGTGACACAGCAAATTATCCTGAAACAACTTCCAGACACATGAAGTCGAGAAGATACTCCATTTGGGAGTAGTCATTATGGCCTTACAAAGGGAAAGTCACACCTGGTCAACCTTTTGAAGCCATCTTTCATTACATGCCTACAGACAAACCGATCAAGAACGGGGATGGCGAAGCTGACTGAAAACTGAATGAACTGCTGAGCTCAAAAGGTTGTGACTGGTGGCACAAAGTCCAGTCAGAAGCCAATAACTAGTGCTGTACCCAGTGGGCTGATAATGGGGACGACACTGTTTAATCTCTTCATTGATGTCCTGCATGATGGGACAAGAGTGCACATTTGCAGACTCTGCAAAACCAAGAGGACTGGCTGATAACACCAAATGGTTGTGTTGTTCTTTCAAGAGACCTTAAGAGGCCACAAAAAAAACATGCTGAGAGGAGCCACATGAAGCTCAACAACTGCAAATGCCAAGTCCTGCACCCTAGAGAGGAACAGCTCTATGTACCAGCACAGGCAGGGGCTGTAAGTAGCTGCTGGAAAGCAGCTGTGCAGAAAAGGACCTGGGGCCTTGGTGGGCATCAAGCTGAACAGAAATCAGCGCTGTGCCATTATGCAGCCTCCCGGGCTGTTTTTAGAGCGTTTGTCAGCAGGTCGATGCAGGCGATCCTTCCTCTCTGCTTGGCACTGCTGAGACATCTGGACCTCTTGGTCCAGTGCTGCACTCCCAGTGTGAGAGAAACACAGATGCACTGGTATGAGTCTAGGAGAGGGTCATAAAGGAGATGAAGCATTTGTCCTACAAGGAGGGGCTGAGAGAGCTGGGAATGTGCAATCTAAAGAAGGTAAGGTTGCGCACCAGGTTTGTGGAGTCTCCATAAGGTTACAAACCAGGCTTCTGGAGTCTCCATCCTTGATGATACTCAAAATACATGTGGACGTAGCCCTCCGCAAGTCCCTTTAGCTGACCCTGCTTTGTGCAAGGGGTTGGATTAGACAAACTCCTGAGGTGCCTTCTAACCTCAGGCATTCCTCAATCCTGTGACACAGGAAGCAGTTTTCTCCATTTTCTAAAATCATTGCCTTGCTCTGCCACTCAACTAGAATATATAAATGCAGTACTAAACACATTCTTCACTCATCTACAGGGAGTGTATGTGACAGAGAAAATTCAAATGCTTGTATACTCACATGCTAGAAAAAGTTTACCTGTTTACAATCCTTCATCAGCTGTGTTTGAAGTGCTTTCAGCCTGCTGTATTCTTCCATTATCTTGTGTAGAAGTGCATCCATACGTTCTTGCACAGTTAAATTACACAGATAACCAGGGACTTTAAAAAATAAATAAATAAAATATTTTACCATAAATTTTAATACAGGTAGTGGCTCACAAGTTCTCCACTGAAGAATTATTTAATAAACATTACACAGAATTGAAACAAATGAGGCCCCTTCTAAGTTTTGAATGCATTTTTATATAGTATTGATACATACGATTTTTTGGCAGAGTTGCTAGTTTCTTTTACAAAAGGAGGAGTAAAAACCAAAACGAAATACTTCTTTTTTCCCCAACAAATTTCATTGTAATAAAAACAATACAAGGAAGATACTCATAATAAAAAAATAAA